CGGCGGCGTTGCAGAGCGTCTCCTGCGCATGCGCAGGAGACGCTCTTGCACTTTCGGGGGGATTTAAACATCCCCCCGAAATTTTTTTTCACTTTTTACATTTTTGTGCACACGTGGGGACTGGCCCACGTGTGCACAAACCTCCCCCTCCCCCCCACCTGCCCCCTCCGTGCTGATTTAGCGATCCGCACGGAGGGGGCAAGTTGGCTATTAGATATATAGATGTTAGTACTGTTGACGTTAATATCGCAATATACTTGTAGAGTTCTTGCTTCTATCAGTTTGCTATTTATATGTTATTTTGTTAGTTGTTATGAGAGAAATCTCTGATCATCTTCTTATTCTTCGCTTCAAAAGGCCATTTTCCGTCCTTCTGCCTTTATTTCGGCTTTCTGTCTCTGAAGTCGTATACCACTCTGGCAGGTCCTGCACCCTTTTCTGCCACAGAGTCCTCTTTCGTTCCAGAGGTAGCAGAGTCACTCGACTTCGTTTCTTCCTCTTTGGACTCTTCCTCTTCCCCCAGCTGTCGTCTCAAAAATTCTTTGCATTAATGACCTCCAAAATTAACAGCCTTGCTAAGGTTTTGAAAACTGAAAGCTGATGTTTCCTTTATTGAGTCAATCCATCTCATTTTGGGACTCCCTCTTTTCCTACCGCCTTCAACTTCTCTACAAAACACCAGGCACTAAAACCAAGCAGATGGTTCCTGCTGGGAAAACCCCTGTGTTTGAGACAGATGCTAATTCCTTTTGTCTTTTTTCTTCACTGCCGATCCCTATCCCACCCATTACAGTCTTCCCATTTTGCATGAGTCTCAGACTCCACATCATCTCACAACTCCCTGGGGGGAAAGAAAAAGCCCCATAGCCAAAAATCATCCTGATCTGAATTTTATATTCAGATATAGCCTATATTATATTATGGAGCTGCGGTGGCTCAAGTGGTTAAGACGCTGAACTGCAGGCTGTGGAAGGTCGGTAGTTCAGCAGTTCGAGACCCGGGTGCCGCATGACGGAGTGAGCTCCCGTCTCTAGTTCCAGCTCCTGCCAACCTACCAGTTTGAAAGCAAGAAATTGCAAGTAGATAAATAGGTACCACTTCAGTGGGAAGGTCACAGCATTCCGTGCGCCTTGGTGTTTAGTCATACCGGCCACATGACCATGGAAACGTCTTCGGACAGCGCTGGCTCTTCGGCTTTGAAACGGAGATGAGCACCACAACCCTAGAGTCAGACTCCACTGGCTTTCGAGCAAGGGAAACCTTTACCTTTACCTATAGCCTATATTATCTCAAGACACAAAGAGACAGCCTGCAAGGCAGGTTCGTGTTTAGTGACTTTGGAATAGAGGTTAAGAGTTACTGACTTGGTGAAGGCCACCTGGCAGCTGCATTGGTGAGCTGGGAATGGTAACCCTTTCACAGGTAACCCTTTCCTTCCTGTGTCACACTGGCTTCAGCATTTGTGAGTGCATAAGCACTTATGGAACCTTGATTGTTACATCTGTATTCTTAATGGCAAACAGAAAGGTACTGAAAGGATTCTTGACACCATACAGGACGCCTGCAGGAGACCAAGGAGCTAATCCCAGTAACCCACATAAACCACACCACCTATCATGGGCACTGAGTATTCAAGTGCTCCTAAGTTATCTAAGTTCGGGTTAGAACAGATTTTTAAAAAGTACTTCTTCACCCGAAGAGTGATTAACACATGGGATTCACTGCCACAGGAGGTGGTGGCAGCTACAAGCATGGACGGCTTCAAGAGGGAACTGGATAAACATATGGAGCAGAGGTCCATCAGTGGCTATTAGCCACAAGATATAGATGGGAACTCACAGGCTGGGGCAGGTGATGCTCTGTATTCTGGGTGCTTGGCAGGGGGCAACAGTGGGAGGGTTTCTAGTGTCCTGGCCCCACTGATGGACCTCCAGATGGCACCTGGTATTTTTGGCCACTGTGTGACAGAGTGTTGGACTAGATGGGCCATTGGCCTGCTCCAACATTGGCTTCTCTTATGTTCTTACCACTTGCACTATAAACCGATTGAATAGCCTTGGCTTTCTGTAAGGAATCCTAGGAACTGTGATTTGACCATGCATTAGGATAGCAGATCTTGCACATGCATACACACATACAAAGTAAATGTACACAAATGTGCACAATGAGGGTCTTCCAAATCCAGGGTTATTATCCCAACCATCCAACATTCTGCTTTCCCCATCTTTCTAGTTTCTGATCTATCGGAAGAAAGTACTTTCCAGAGAAGCACACACATCCTGACGTGTTTAAAAAGAACACAGATTACAAAATACTAATCAGTACTACACTGTACACATTCATATTCAAAATATATTACACATCTAATGTAAATATGCTTGTGTAAAAATACATATCACTGGCAGCTTGCACATTTTGTCTTTGGGGTCTTTCTTTCATGTGCACAGTATAGTACTGATCTGTGTTATACCTCCTTTTTAAAAAATTACTTGTTCAAAGAAGGGACACTCTTAGATATGTAGAGGAGAAACTCTCTACAATGGGAATATCCCTGGATTATTTAGCCCCCTTTTCAGATAAACAAGCCTATGCTATTATTAAACAAAGATTTCTCCACATCGAAAGGCAAGAACTTAGGGAACGCGCAGCCAGCAGATGCTCCCCAAGCAGGTTGGGGACTTTTGACATGGGCTCCACTGCGAAGTATCTGTCGAGTTTAACAGCCCCACATCATTGCAGAGCATACATGCTTGCACGCTTTAATGTTCTGCCATCAGAGGTGCTTTTAGGGAGGTACCGCCAGATACCATATGTAGACAGACTTTACCCTTGCTCTCTAAAAGATATAGAATCCACTACACACTCCATACTTCATTGCCCCCTCTATAGGGATATCCGATCTCGTTTTATTACTCCACTTCTAGAGGGTGAGAGCTGGCACTCTGATGACTCAACTGGTCACTTTCTTCTGTTTCATTCTAATTGCGAAATAATGGAGGCGGTTGCAAAACTTTCATATTATGCAATCAGAAGACGAGGCCTGAATAGCCAAGTGTGAGCGACTGATGCATTTCAGTATTCTCCCGTATTTCCATGATGTTTTGTGCTTTCATGCCAATAAAGGTTTTGTGTGTGTGAAAAAAGAAGGGACCCTTGACTGGACAGGCCTGCAGTGCCGTTTTCCCTTCAAATGAAATATCATACCCTGGTGCAACTTAGGAGGCAAGTGTTCAAAAATGTGGTCTTCAGCTACTGTCAGTGCGGAGTTCTCTTCCAGCTGATCCTCTTCGCCAGCCTCTTCCTCTTCAGGGTTCGTCTCCCCTGCGCTATCTTCTACGGCTCGCAGAGGCAGCAGAGGTCTGGGATGATGGAGGAGACCTGAGCAGGGAAGACAGATGAGTGGAACTTTTGCAGGTCAATCAAAAGCTTTACAAGTCCATTGGCTACATTTCTTCAACATCTCACACTGGGGGGGGGGGGGGGTAGCTACAGTCCTACCCAAAAAACTCTGGACTTCAGAGTTCAGTCCCAAAAGGTCACAAGTTAGGGTTGCCAAGTTGACTTGCCTGCAAAGCGGGGAGATTCCTGGCTCCGTTGGGAGTCCCCCCGTGTGCACTTTGCGTGCGCGTGCCACAATGACGTCACCAGAAGTGACATCATCGCATCGCCCATGTTGGGGGGGGGCACCGTGACTCGAGGGAAAACCATAAGAGTTTCCCCTCGAGTCACAGAGTGTCCCCCCACAACGTGGCCAGTGTGATGAAGTCACCTCCAGGTGACATCATCACACTGGGGACGGGAGTTCCCCCCGGGGCCTGATCCATCGGCGGCGGTAACGGGCCTCCTGGGCGGGAATTTACCCGCCCTCAGCGGGGGCTTGGCAAGCCTATCACAAGTCGACTTGCTCATATTTGCAGTCGTTCCAAGACTTTGTGTGCTTCTGAGCCTACTCTCTTGCAGCAGATAAACTGCACTACTCATACACCCATGCAATTCACACACGAGTCATCAGGACAAAGATGCAGTGGATATGTTTGTTGCACTACAGGTAGTCCACCACAAGATGACACTATAGATATTAGCTGTTTGCACAGGCCACAACAGAAGTTTGCTACATAGTAGGTGGAACGCAGTAGAAGAAGAAGAGAAGAGATTGGATTTATACCCCGCCCTCACTACCGAAAGGTGTCTCAGAGCAGCTTACAAACTCCTTCCCCTTCCCCTCCCCACCACAGACACCCTGTGAGGGAGGTGGGGCTGACAGAGCTCATGACAGAAACTGCTCTTTTTTCAAGAACAGCTCTTATCAGAGCTAAGGCTTGCCCAAGGTCAACCAGCCAGGTGCAAGTGGAGGAGTGGGGAATCAAACCCGGTTCTCCCAGATTAGAGTCCGCACACTTAACCACGACACCAAACTGACTCTCCCTGGACCAAAAACAGAGAGAGAACAGCTAACACCATTATGACCTTTCAACATCAACGTCTCAATACATTATACTATACTGTACTACAGCCATGGTGAATGACTGAGGGGTGTCCCAGTCATGGTGCCCAAGGCGGACCTCCACAGTCTCTGAATCCCAGAGCCAGGAGGCAACATCAGGGGAAGGCCTCCGACTCTATGCCCTGTTGTTGGCCCTCCAGAGGAACTGGATGGCCATTGTGTGAGACAGGATGCTGGACTAGATGGACCCTCACTGGTCTGATCCAGCAGGGCTCTTCCAATGCTCTTATCAGGGGTTGACAAGTGTTCTACTCTTGTACAGTTCACTGTACACTGTACAAATTCAACAGCGCCTGTGCAGCAGAGCATCCAGTTGGATTGTGCCAGCGGCATTCCCACCTGCAGCTCTAGGCACAGGTACAAGATTACACAGAGCAGATTTTCTTGTCATATCTAAAACTGAAAAGCACGGCTTTCTTTTTAGCCAAACTCTGTAGGCACAGCCGAATACGAAGCCATCTAAGTTATTCAAAGGCTGTGCAGACAAGGTCGCCATGGGAAGGAATCTAATCCTCAGCCCTCATTCGTTCAGTCCGACCGCCTGTATGGTACGTGCTCTGCACAGCAACAGAGTGAATAATGTGGTCTCTCTTACTCTTATATTTGGCTTTAGCATGAGGCTTTTCAAAATGCACAGAACGTCTTCCTCCACCGGGCAGAACTGAAAGAGACCTCCGCAACAAGTATGTCCAAAACAAGAGTTGTGGTTTTTGGTAGAAAATGCCCATCAGGAACTCATTAGCATAATAGGCCACACCCAACAGCAGGAACCTATTAGCATATTAGGCCACACCCTCATAACTTCCCCTGGCTTGCCTGGGCAAATCTGTCAGCGAGTGATGACAGAGTGCTGTGTGGAAACATGAAGTGTTCAGAATACATGCCTATTGAAAGAGAGATCCTTGTCAGAGAAGGATCTTGTGATCAAAAGACTTCCCCATAACAGTTACAGTTCACCAGCAACTCATTTTTGTTCCAAAATTCAATAAATCATATTTTGCTTGAGTGTAACCCAGACTCTAGGTCACTTTACCAACAGCTAATGAGAAAAGATTTGGAATTTATTTAAATTCCTGGTGGCAGCAGAAACTACCCTGTTTGTGAACACAAAGTATAATGTAAAGTGAAAACCAGTCCTCCCCAAATAAGAGGTCACCACAAAGGCAGGGAAGGCAGTTTAAATGCCTCCCCGATCCTTCCAGGGGCCCCCCTGGCCTGCCCGCCTCGGAGTCGCCGGGGGGGGGGGTCGCTCTCCAGGCCTTCCCTCTGTAGCCAGGCATGCAGAGGTTTTGGCTGTAGCGGGCGTGGCCAACTCTGAAGCCAGACGGAACTCCATTCCTGTGCGTTCCTGCCCAAAAACAGCCCTGGTTTTAAGTGCTTACCAGTCTTTTTCAAGAAGTGCAGAGCATCCCTGTAGCCCTGTTTGCACATGTCCCGCATAACCTGCACATAGATATAAAGGCAAAGCATGTTTAGAATGCAGGAAGGCTGAGTCTGTAAACAGGACTTTGTTGACCAGGTATCAGTACAGGAGGAAAGGCGAGAAGTGCCTGTTCTTCCACTAGGGCCACCCCAACCCCAACTACATGATACATTACAGCAATAGACAATACCAGGAGCGAAGTCTGAAGATGGGCAGCATTTTTTCCTCACCACCCAGCTGAAACAGGCATAAGTAGGGAGATGTGATCTGTTAAGATCTTAAGATCTGTAACAGATGAAAGCAGGCAGAGTTGGTCAGTGGACCTGAATGTTAACAACTGGGAGAGAAACCGCAGCAGCAGGATGAGTTTTAAGTGGCTTCCTGCTGTTTGCTGCTTGACAGGTGTAGCAGGGTGGAGTGCAGTGTTTCCTCTAGTGCAGAGCCAGTTTGGTGCAGTGGTGAAGTGCGCAGACTCTAATCTGGGAGAACCGGGTTTGATTCCCCACTCCTCCACTTGCACCTGGCTGGATGACCTTGGGCGAGCTGTAGTTCTGAGGAGGAGGAGGAGGAGGAGGAGGAGGATTTTGAAATGTACTGAGTTCAGAGGTGTTGAGTAGTGATCAGCTCATGTAGAGCGGCTTACAAACTCCTTTCCCTTCCCCTCCCCACAACAGACACCCTGTTCTGAGACAGAGCTGTTCTTGAAAAAGAGCAGTTTCTGTCAAGAGCTCTCTCAGCCCCACCGACCTCACAGGGTGTCTGTTGTGGGGAGGGGAAGGGAGAGGAGTTTGTGAGCCGCTCTGAGACTCCTTTGGGTAGCGAAGGGCCATGGGGTATAAATCCAATCT